ATTTTGGGGGGCCCAGGATAATTTTTGGGGTGTCCAGACTGATTTTTGGGGTGCCCAGACCGATTTTGGGGTTCCCAGGCCAATTCTGGGGTTCCCAGGCTGATTTCTGTGTTCCCAGGATAATTTTTGGGGTTCCCAGGCTGGTTTTCGGGCTGCCCAGACCGATTTTGGGGTGCCCAGGCCGATTTTGGGGTTCCCAGGATAATTTTTGGGGTGCCCAGACTATTTTTGGGGTTCCCAGGATAATTTTTGGGGTGACCAGACTGATTTTTGGGGTGCCCAGACCGATTTTGTGGTCCCCAGACCGATTTTGGGGTTCCCAGGATAATTTTTGGGGTTCCCAGGCTGTTTTTTGGGGTTCCCAGGCCGATTTTGGGGTGCTCAGGCCGATTTTGGGGTTCCCGGGATAATTTTTGGGGTTCCCAGGCTGTTTTGTGGGGTGCCCAGGCCGATTGTGGTGTCCCCAGACCGATTTTGGGGTTCCCAGACCGATTTTGGGGTTCCCAGGCCGATTTTGGGGTCCCCAGGCTGATTTTGGGGTCCCCAGACCGATTTTGGGGTTCCCAGGATAATTTTTTGGGTTCCCAGGCCGATTTTGGGGTTCCCAGGATAATTTTTTGGGATTCCCAGGCCGATTTTGGGGTCCCCAGGCTGATTTTGGGGTCCCCAGACCGATTTTGGGGTTCCCAGGATAATTTTTGGGATTCCCAGGCCGATTTTGGGGTTCCCAGACCGATTTTGGGGTTCCCAGGATAATTTTTGGTGTCCCCAGGCTGATTTTGGGGTCCCCAGGCTGATTTTGGGGTTCCCACGATAATTTTTGGGATTCCCAGGCCGATTTTGGGGTCCCCAGACCGATTTTGGGGTTCCCAGGATAATTTTTGGGGTTCCCAGGCCGATTTTGGGGTTCCCAGACCGATTTTGGTGTCCCCAGGCCGATTTTGGGGTTCCCAGGATAATTTTTGGGGTGCCCAGACCGATTTTGGGGTTCCCAGGATAATTTTTGGTGTCCCCAGACCGATTTTGGGGTGCCCTGGCCGATTTTGGGGTGCCCAGGATAATTTTTGGGGTTCCCAGGCCGATTTTGGGGTTCCCAGACCGATTTTGGGGTTCCCAGGATAATTTTTGGGGTTCCCAGGCTGTTTTTTGGGGTTCCCAGACCGATTTTGGTGTCCCCAGGCCGATTTTGGGGTGCCCTGGCCGATTTTGGGGTTCCCAGGATAATTTTTGGGGTTCCCAGGCCGATTTTGGGGTCCCCAGACCGATTTTGGGGTGCCCTGGCCGATTTTGGGGTACCTGCAGGTGCATCAGGACGTGCCGCGCCCCCCACTCCGCCATGGCCTCGGCCTCGGGGTCGGGCTGATTTTGGGGGTCCCTCCGGGGGTCCCCCCAGAGCTGCAGCCCCACCTTCAGCACCATCAGGGCCTGGGCCAGCGCCTGCTGGGGGGGGGTCCCCGAAAACCGGGGGCGCCCCAATTCCATGGGGGCCCCCCGGGCCCAGCCCCACACGGCCCCGGCCCAGCGCCGG